TGTGTGTCCGTGTGTCTGTGTGGGCTCGTATGTGTGTGTGTGTGTGTGTGTGTGTGTGTGTGTGTGTGTGTGTCATACTCTCTCCACTCTCTCTGTGTCTGTCTTACACTCACACACCTGTGCACTCACTCTCTCCTCTCTTTTCATTCTCTCTCAAACCCTCTTCTGTCTCTTTGTGTCTCTCTCCTTTTTCGTGTCGTTGATTCTGTTACATGACATTGTATCATGTCCAATCAAATTTTTTGATACATCCGGATCTACTACATGCGGATATTGTATTTGGCAGCGGGTCATCAAAACGGGTCATGCATGGCCCATATGTTAGCGTGAGCATTATCAGTTGCCCTGCTGCCTGCCTAGGGACTCTGAGTTTCTCGTGTATATGTGTGTGTGTGTGTGTGTGTGTGTGTGTGTGTGTGTGTGTGTGTGTGTGTGAGCTGCGATGAGAGCAATTATCTGACAACACCTAAACATCAAACCCATGTATTTCGAGTTTTTTTTTTTTTTCTGCTCTGCGTCAACGGCTTTGAACACGGGCGAAGCTGGCTGGCGGTGCATCATTTCGGGGTTATGATGAAGCATAGTCTTCTGGCGTGATCAGATTTAGCCCCTGCCTGCCTTTTTTTTTTTTTTTTTTTTTTCCTAGAAGAAGAAGAAGGCATTGCCGTTTCTTGGAGGCGCCAGCTGTCAACGGTCGTTGCCCGCCTCTTGCGCCCGCACCTGACCAATGCCTCCTCGGCAAGCCGTCCAGACCAGTGTGCATGAGGCCCATGTTCAAAAGCAGGTTGGCTGGTGTAGAAAAAATAAAAGACATTGCTTGTGCACGGCGTCAGTGGTTGCGGTACTCATGCGGTGTGCCGTGCTTGTGATGGTGTACTGCCGTGGCAAATCTGCAGGCTGCAAAGGCCTCACGGCGAGCTCTTGCCGATCGTGCCTTGGCACTGTACAGACTTTGCATCGCTGTGCACGCTGGTGTGGAACCCTCTGAGAAAATAGAGCAACTCTTGGCAAGTCATGGTATCACCAGTGCTGATCTGGCACAACTGCAACCCGATCCGTCGCGCCCGAACAAGAAAGCCCCGACAGCGGCTTCGGTGGCTCGGCTCTACGGATTGGAACAAAAAGACTTTTATGCTGCTCAAAGTCGCGCCGATAGACATGTTGATTCTGGAGATCAACGCCGCATTCTGACTGCTCCTGAACGACGCCTGCTCGCACAATACGTCGGCACACTGGCCGACAACAACAAAGGCAGACGACGAGCCCTGGCAGTGGTGCTCATGTACCACCTCCTCGAAACCCGCCACGCAGCCCGCGAACGAGCGCTCGAGCTAAAAATACCGGATGCACGGCTGATTCAGCCACTGAATGACCGCGAACTTGACTTCCTCGCGCGTCTGAGCACAAATCCCGAACAACCCCCCTTGCGAGAGAAATGGTTTCAGGTTTGGGAGGCTGAGTTTGCGCCCCTTTTGGAAACCGCCAGAACCCAAGACCCACACCGCCTTGCCGCCGCCACACGTTCTCGCTGTGAAGAGCACTTCCGCTCTCTGGGAAATGCACTGCGGCAGCTCAACTTTTTACACGACACCGGGCCCCACGCGGGAACCATCCGCTTAGATCGTACGTCATTAGCTCTCTGTCTTGATGCCTCCGTCCACCCCAACTCAACTCTACCTGAGTTTGCTTGCGTCAACATAGGACTGTCACATGTGTGGTCCATTGACAAAATGCCAGGCCTCAACGCAGGCCTGGGCATGTTGCAGGGCGATTTTCGAAGTGAGCATAGTATGGATCGTGGCGCCGCGACGGAACAAGCGTCCGACCGGACATTGACTGTGGTGCTTGCTATTTCCCTTGATGGCGCCCTCGCGCCCCCCATGGTTATTCACAAGCAAGGCACACTTCCTCCAGAGAAGATTGCCGGCCCTGCAAACCTTCCAAGCAGCCTTGTGTTTGACCATGATTTTGGCCACTTTGCTTCTTGTGCAAACAACAGCGGTGACATCACTAGGCCTCTTTTCTTGGGCTTTTGCCGTCGCCTTCGCGCGTTTGTCGGGCATCGGGAGCCAATCTTGCTCATATCCGATGGTCTCAAGACGCGCATCCCAACACCGCTGATGGCATATCTCAAGTCCATCAACATTTTCCTCTTCCTCGCCCCACCCCATACCAGCCATTGGCTTTCTCCAAACGATCAGTGGCATCAGCACATTTATCGCGATCGCACCACGTTGTTGTTCGAAACACCCTCGGTCGCCCAAGGAGGATCAGCAAGCCTTGATGAGAAAATTGTTGCCCTCTACGCCGCCATTCACAAGCAGCATCAATGTCCCGAACGGATACAAAGTGCCTTCGGGGCCGCAGGTATTGCAAAGGATCGTTGGGGCATCGACCTGATGCGCCATCAGCCACTTGAGGATGCTCCAGATCAGAGAGCGGCCAATGCCTTGTCTGCACTGGATACCATGTTGCTAGAGACAAAAAAAGCCAATCCTGGCCCGCTCTCTGCTCAGAGCTCGCCGCAAGCAATTTCTCGCTGGGGCGAAGACATTCGACGCTACGCGACGGCCCAAGCACGCCTGATCAAGTGCTTCGAGCAGAGATTTCTTGACGTGACGGCCCAACAACAGCAGTTGTTGGCTCTTTTGACACCAGTGTTAGGCGAACGTCTACCCAAACGAGCCCGGGTGGATGTCACTACCGCACTTGAACCGTCAGATGCACCATTGGCTGTGACCGACCAACAATCGGCTGCAAGTTCAGCAACAATTCAGAGCCGATCAGGAGGACAAGCAGCATGCCAGCAGATACAGGAAAAGCTTGGTCTGCCGGCCACGACCAAAGAACACCTCAAGACGGCATGCCAACGCCTGGGGTTGGCTTGGACGGGCAACAAGCCAGACTTGCTGGCTAGACTCCAGGCCAAAATGGGATTGGTCACTGAAGCCCAACCATCCACGGCGTCGGCACACGATGTTGATTCACTTGAAAGCGCGGAAGCAAGTATGCAGAATACCATTGTTCCAACAACTGCAACTGCAATACTGCAATCGGTCTCTGAAGTCCAGCCAAACGCCGTGGCGATAGAGTCACCACGGCCCTCATCAGGCACGCTTGCCAGCGCTCATGATCCGACTGTGAATGGCCCCAATTCGGAAGAATCTGGCTCTTTTTTCGACTGTGTCAACATCTGTACCAACTCTAGCCTTGATCTTCGTGGGCCTTTGTTCGAGTGGGTCACTGACCTACCTGAGGACCTGCTCAGAGGCAACGAGGAGGTCGACCCAGCTCTTCTTGAAGCTCAGTGGTTCCAGCAGCCGAGCCAGTTGAACATGGAAGAGATGGATCGCTTGATTCAAGCCTGCGATGGCCCTACGCGTGCATATCGAGCAAAAGTCGCAAGGTTGACATCCGCGCATGACACATTGTTGACCTAGGACTGCGTTGGCTGAAGACTTCTGACTATCTATAAATTTGGTTGTCCACCGTGTGTCAGTACGGCGCCGGCACGTTGCAGGTTGCGCCACCCAGTTGCTCTGGTATCAACGTGCATCCTGTTGCCCTTTTGGCTCTGCCAAGTTTCAGTTTAGTGATTGCGGTGCAGAGAAATCTCGACACGTGAACAGAGTGCTCTTTTTCTTGTTTTTCCTTAACCCCTGAAAGAAAGGTGGTGCTCCAAAGCTGCCCTAGTCGTCCAGCTGCGCCGACCTCCAAACCACAATCAACACACAACTGCATCTTACGGCGCTGAGCAACGAGAAGCACGCGTTGCAGTCCATGCTGATGCTGATTAGCACCTCAAGTCCTGCGGAGACCATATCGCAGACCAGGTTCAGGGAGGGCAAAGCAAAAGTAATTTTACACTGAAGTTGCACCAAAAAACACAAGTAGACACCTGACGGGTGCGTATGGGAAAGAGGGTTTGTGCGAAAACAGAAACAGCCAACCATCACGGCAAGGTCGAAATGAACAACATGTAGTTGTAAAACACAACGTCGTGCGAGCCGCCGTAAATGTTTGTCGAAAGCCTAAAAAGTAAAACGACTTTTAAGAAAGTTAAACATCGACCTTGAATGGGGAGCACTCGACACAACCACCGATTGACTTGAGCGGGGGCTTGATCAGCTTCATAGCAATAATACCAGCCTACATGCCACATGCACCAGGGATTTAAAGTGGCAGGGACAAGACGCGAGGCTGATACGCCCGCCGCCGCCGTCGTTCTTGTCGCCATAGCATTGCAGTAAGAAACTTCCTCATAAACAGCAACATATAGTAACACTGATCTCCCAATTGAAACTTCAAAAACTACAAAATTCGCAACACAAACTCTCTATTTTCATACTACAACACAAACCATGATGATATCTTCAAATTCTATACTAACTTTATGCTTGATATAACATGAACAATCGAAAAAACAGCAAAAACCATGTTTATAGCTACATAAACCCTTCACTGAAGAACAACTCAGCAATCACAAACCAACACAACAAAAGGAGATTGCCACTGGATCATCTCTCTGAAACCCCTTGCAAGCCCCGTTCAAATGCTGCTCAAAGTCCCGCTGCTCCCACACACTCTCTCACTTCAGCTCTTGAACACCAAGTCGTGCGCACACACACACACGCACTCGCTCACTCACTGCGCTCTGCTCGCTGCTCGCTGCTCACTGTGTGAGCCCTTATCCCACTCTTTGGCGGTACCGGTGTGTGCACTGGGTGGGTGATCCAGTGGATCAAGCGTGGTGGCAGCGGGGTGAAGGAGTTGGCGCGATATTGGGGTCATTTGGCGTCGAAGGAACCGCAGTTGATTGTTGCGTGAGCGCGGGCGATCGGCTCGCGCGCCAAGACCCATCACGTCCCGAGGATCGCGCTTGACTCTGGTGGTTGGGTCAGGACTTTTTCTTTGGCGACATGAGTGCTCCTCCGCGGCCGGCGCCCCGGCCCCGGCCCAGACCTAGACCACCGCGGCCAGCACCACCACCGACATCACGGATTGCCCACGAAGACGAACAGGAGACCGCGCTTGAGCCCTCTCCCACCCCTCGCGTACGCGTCAATCACGAGATCGCATCCCCGCCAACACACCAGACCGATACGTACGAGTACGCGGCTTACGAACAGGATGAGTCGTTTGATCAAAGCGGTCTCAACAATGCCGATGTGCAGCATCGATGTGAAGAACCGGTAGTGGATTCGATGACAGCACACGGCGATGAGATCAGCGTACAGCAAGCACAGGATGACAGCGAGCTTCGGGTGGAGGACGAAACCACATCTCTTCATGCTTCTACAGCCACGGCACCGGCCCCAGCCCCTCGCGTGTCTCCCCGCCCCCGACCCGTTCCGGCTGCGCGGCCCACCCCGCCAAGCAGGCCACCTCGGCCCGTCTCCATGTTGTCTTCAGCCGAACCTCCGCGCCCCTCTCGCGCTGCCCCCGTACGTAGCTCTCTACCTGGCTTGTGTCCTTGTCACCTCCAAATGGCTCTGCACACCACTCTTTGAACTTTGCGTCTTGTTTGAGTACTGATCCGCTGACTTCTTCCAACCAAACCCCTGCCCCTCATCTCTGCTTCGTTGATGCTTGATAGCCCCCACCAAAAGCAGCACCGCCGCGACCGCCTCCGGCTCGTCCAGGCCCGGCACCTCCCCGTCCACCATCTGTTCAGGTCACCAATGATGAAGCCGGGTACAACTCCACATCCTCCTCCAGCTCAGAATATGAAGCTGAACCCGAGCCCCTGCCCGCGGGTGTTGGCACTGACTACGACCATGATGCGAGCTTTGATGAAGCCCGCGCTGAGGATTACAGCTACAACAGCTACAATGACAGCCTGGCGAGCAGCTACGACGCCCCGCCCCGCCCTGCGCCCCGGCCTTCGCCTCGCCACCAATCCTCAGAGAGTAGCCTCATCACTGATCCCAGCATCGACTTTGACAGCGATACCGACGAAGAGGCGGCTGAAATCCACCCTAGCACCTATGTGGAGAGCATGAGCAATGACCCTGCCTCCAATCAGCCAGAGTTGTCCCCTGAAGAGCGCAAGGTTGGGCCTTTCTCGCTTTTTCTCGCCCTGCCTCACTTGACTCACATCTGGCACTTACCACCTTGCTTTTTGGACCAGCAACAAAAACGATTGGCCAATGTTCAGGAAATGGTGACGACCGAGGAGAGCTACGTGCGCAGCCTCTCCATCGTGGTTGATGTGAGTTACTGTCATCCAGCTCGAGGCCCCCCTTTGAACACCCCTCCCCTCCACTCCACTTTTTCTCCTCCCCCCCACCTCCCTCTCTGTCCCCTGCCGAGTCTCGTCTGCTCTACACCCAGTGCTCACTGCGTATCATACCTTGCTACTATCCCAAAGGTATACAAGCCACGCATGACTACCACCGAGTTTAATCTCGAGGTTCCCGTTCATGTGGTCAAAGATATCTTCTCCAACATTGATCGTATCCGCAACACCCACCAACGCTTTCTGAAGGTTCTTCGCGAACGCGTGGCAGAATGGTGCGTTTTGTCGTGGCAAGCTCGCCTGCTCGTGGCCCCGCTGTTGCTCTTCACGCTCATGGCCCGCGGTGAGGACTGGTGACAGGGAGCACAACGATACCATTGCGGACATTTACCTCAAATTTGCTCCCCAGCTCAGCGTTTACACCCACTATTCGACCAATTTTGACAAAGCCTCGCGCCTTCTTGATGAGTGGACCAAAAAGTCGCCACTGATGGGTCAGGGCCTGTCTTTGTTTGCTCTCTCGCTTGTTTCCCAACGCTGTCAACGCGCCTCTTGATCGAATCACAGATCTCGTCCTCATCTCGCTTTCGGCATTGTGCATATTTTCTAGCCTCGGTGCTGGCCGAGTGCAATGCACTGCCAGAGAGCGCGCGTCTGGGTCTTGGGGCTTTTCTCCTTGAGCCTATTCAGAGGTTACCACGGTTCAAGCTTCTCTTATCCGGTCCGTGACCCCGACCCCGTAGCCCGGGTTTGAAATGTTGTTTGCCTCTTTGTGTCGGTGTCTTTCACGCCTAATTAATGGTGTCTTGCGGTGTACAGATTACATCAAGTATACGCCTGAAGATCACCCGGATTACGAGCCAGCCAAAGGTATGCCTTGCGAGACGACCGGGTTGCGGCGTGCGTTCTACCTGCATCGTATGCTTTGGCCACAAACTGATGTATTACTTTCAACAGAGGCCCTGCAAAAGATTTTGAACATCGCCTCGCATGTCAACGAAAAAATTCGTCAGACCGAGAATGACATCAAGATCAAGCAGCTTGAGCGCATGATCCCCAGCATCAACGTTGTCAAGCCAGGCCGGGTGTGTTTCTTAGCGGCGTCTCTTTGACTGAGTGCTCTTCTTCTTGCCTCGTACCGGACTCATCATCGTACTGCACCATTTGCGACCTGTTTGCGCTACAGATGGTTCTGAAGGAAGGTCAGCTGATGAAGATGTGCCGCAAGGGGCCTCAGCCCCGCGTGGTCATCTTGGTGAGTTCATTCATGCGCTCGGGTCTTCGCCTTGCGTTCGTGCTCGTGCGAAGCAGACTCACGACACCTGCCAAAATCACAGTTTAGTGATATGCTGCTGTATGCTCAAGAGCAGACGGGTCTTGTCACGACCTATGTTGCTCCCAAGACAATATCCTTGCGTGAGATGCAGGTTCGTCATGAGGCTAGTCTGCCTGGTCGGCGATTTCGGCCTTGTGTAGCTCATTCATCCGAATAACGAATCATCTTTGAAAGGTTCGAGCCAAGCGCCTACCCGAGGGCCTCTACGGCGTTGAAGTCAAGGGCAAGCAAAGAGCCTTTTACCTCTGCTCCGAGGAAGAGTCTGAGCAGCGTATATGGGTAGCTGAAATACAAAAGGCCATTGAACAGCTGCTGGCGAGTCGCCGTGAGCGTTCAAACCGCCGAGGTGAGCGTCTTGCCCATCGTACCAACTTGCCCTGAGTCGCCCTACGTCATCGGCATTTGGCGCCACGTATACTGACACTTTCACTTGCGCCTCAATGGCTTTTCACCGCTACAAACCCCGACAGGCAGCGAGAGCCGGCCCGCCAGTCGTGGATCAAACTTTGCAGTTGAGGCACCAATCTGGGTGAGAAAAAGTGCCCAGCACCGCCTTTGTAAAGGGCATGTCTTCCAATCAGATTTCTGGAACCACGCCCTGATCGATTTACTGTGGATTTGGTGGAATGCAGATTCCCGATCACGATGTCAGCATGTGTATGGTCTGCACATACGAGTTCAACATGATCCGGCGGCGCCATCATTGTCGATCCTGCGGCAAGGTTTGCATTCGACGTGTTGCAAACCCGTCTAATAGCAGAGAACAGAGTCAATGATTTCAGGCATCTGGCCGCTTCTGACCGCCTCTGCTCTACGCTTTTGCTCTGACTGGGTATCACACCTGGTGGATGTTAGGTGGTCTGTGGGTCGTGCTCTGGACACCAACTGCAACTGGCATATCTGAGCCATGAGTATGGGCGGGTGTGCGACGAGTGCTTCCAAAAATGGGAGGATATCCAGAGCAGTAAAGGCCTGACCGGTGCGTTGCTTGAATGACCCACTTCTTGTTGGCCTGAAGAAACGCTCGGATCGCAAGCTTGCTTGGGGAGAAGAGGGAGGGGGCGTGTGTAGAGGGGGTAGAGGGTACCAAAACTGGGCAGACGACCCGCTTGGTCGGTCGGGTTGACTCACGTCGCGCAACACGCGTTGATTTGCGACATTGTTCCATGGTATGGCAGTGTCACGCACTTCAGGACCGCGGCGATCGCGGCGAGACCGACGCTCCATTCGCCCCGAGCGGTTGCTTCAGGTACGCATGAATACCCAGCGCCGTTTGTTTGGCATGAAGTGCAAGATCATGTTTAACATCATGCCTGTGGTGCCCTGTCTTGCTATAGGCTGCTGCAGGATTGTCCGAGGCCAGCGATGTGGTGCGGGCTGGTTACTTGTCTGAACAACGAATGTTACGCCGCTCTCAGCGGCGGTGGTATCAGCTCAAGACGGACTTTGTGCTCTATTCCTACAAGGCTCCTGAGGTGGGTCTGCTCAGACGTTGCTGGGCGATGTAGATGGAGATCAGGCGCCTGGATTGACTGTCGCTGGTATGGTGCCCCGGTGTTGGGCATGCAGGACCCTATGGCTTTGGCCAGCATCCCCCTGCCGGGATATAGCATTGAGCCCCATCAAAAGGTGGGTGGCATGGTACCCCAGCCGGATCTGTGGCATGTTTCATTTTTGACTCATCTGCATTTGGATTGGGACGTCTTGGATGCGTGAATGGGGGACTTTTGTGCGTTTGGTTAGGGGGAAGGCGAGGATACCGAGTACGGCGTCAAGATTTCCCACCAAAACTTGAAGCAACACATCTTCTTGGCAGATTCTCAGGAACGGGCCCAAGAGTGAGTTGGGCTGCACTGCATGGCAGCGACTTGTCAGCTCGTGTTTTTTTTTTTCTTCCTTTTTTTTTTTTTTTTTTTTTTGGCGGGGAATGATTAAAAATGGTCTTACCTTCCTGTGGAACGCCTGATTAGGTGGTTTGAGGTGCTGCAGGCGGCGTCCATTCTGCAATTGCCCGAGGGGTTTACGCCCAGCCAACCGACTGACATGGAGATTGTGGAAGAGGAGGCAGAGGAGGTTACCGAGGCCTAGCTCAGGAGGCAGACCCCAACGTTTCAGGTTGTGACAGGATACTGCGTAAGAATGGTTGTTTGTGAGAGCTTTTTTTTTTTTTTTTATGAAGGGTTGGGGTAGAGTCTTTGAGTTTCTTGTTTTTTTTTTTTCCCAAAGCATTGCCTGGCGTCGTGCTTCAGGGCAAACCCTTTGTACCGATTGTATGGGCTGGGTTAAGCTTAGCCCAGATTGAATTGACTTGTGTCTTGACTTTTGTGTGTGCATGTGAGAGTTTGAGTGAATGACTGCGGTTGGCATTCGGATCATAGCGTGTCATTGGGGTCACGAGTCATGGCGTAACACCATGCTTGTCGTCAATGTCTGGGTTTGAGATTATCACCGGGGTTGCTGGCTCAGGGCAAAAAAAAGAAAAAAAGATGAAAGAAAAAGAAATGCGAGGGTGACGAAAGGAACGTCAGTTATCTTCGCACCATTCGACGTATTCGTCAATCAGGGCCGGCCAGGCAGCTGTTGCATCATATTTGCTCAGATCGCCTTCCGTCTCCTGCATAAAGTCTAACAGAAGATCCCACGTGTCCTGTGGAGGGGACGGGCCATACAGACAGCAGCATCAGGGGTGAGGGGGTGGCAGACAAAAAGCTGGGCTGCACCAGTCCAGGGGTGTGGCATGCTGGGCAGAGAGCAAGACATACGCGGGAGATGGCGCGCTTGTTCTCGAGACGAAGAAACTCAATCCACTTGGCAGTTTGAGGTATCCGAGGACAAGAAGAATTTCCCAGAGCCCAATGGCTGTGTCAAATTCTGCAGATGCTAAAAGTGGCGGCACATGATCCAGGGAACCGGACGGAGGTAGCATCGAGTCAGCCATTGGCATCAGGGACGAGTCGAAAAGAGGTCGAGCCGGAAGCACCGGCGGTGATTTTGGCTGGATGGCTGGTGCAGGCACGCACCAAGGGACTTTTGGCCTGGGTTGCAACTGTAGGGGTAAGTGAAGCGGTAGACGGCTTTGAATGTTTCGGGGTCTTCGAGTTGAGATCGTAACCGCGGGATTGCGTCGACCAGATCCTGCTGGTTCTTGATGCTACGGGGGGCGGGTCACCATAACCCAAGGAAGGTTGGACGTTGAAAGAGTCTGAGTGAGCTGGCCATTTGGGATGTGTACAGCAAGACGCCAAGCCCAGTGAGGATTCGTACTGAAGCGTGCTACAGAGCTGGTGGAATTCAGACTTGGTAAAGATGCAGACGGTTTCGGCGTTGGCGTGGTAGGCTAGGACAAGCATGATGGGGTCAGCCGGCTCGACTCCCAGGTGCTCGCAGAGCTTGATGATGCCGTCAATCTCGATGGCATCCTTGTTGTCTATTCACCGGATATGTGAGTGTATGCAGGAGTAGCCTGGTGCGGGGAGACAAGAAGAGGCGGAAGGACTGGGGAAAGGTAGGCAAGATGGGTACTGGCGCATGGTTGTGTAGACTGGACTGGAGAAGGTGTCGGAGCTCTACTGCCACGGCGGGGCGCTCGGCCAACATACCCTTGTATTGGTCGAAGAGCTTGTCAATGGCGGCTGGGTCCACGGCCGGGGTTCCTGAAGCAAGGTGGCTGCGCGAGCTTGCACCAAAACTGCTGGGGTGAGCCATAAACGCATGCACGGCTGCCTCGGTCTGCCAACCTAAAGCCAAACGGCACCACAGCACAAGGAAACAGAGGTGAGCACCTCGAAAACGGATTGGCCCCCCCGATGCAGCACATAGCGCTTCAATGAAGTCTAATTTTGCTTGAAAGGAAACGAAAGAGTCCAAAACCTAAAAAGGGGGCTTGGTTGATGGGGCGTACCGCATGCTTCGAGGCAGGCAATGGCCACGGTCTCAGAGGCACCGGTAAAGTCTCGGACAGTCCGAATGCGGTTGGCCTTTTCCCGCGACGAGATCTTGCGCGAGAACTAACAACGGCAAGCCAGGAAGGGCTGTGAGCGCGGTTCGTGCTGCATGAGCAAATTGCTCACAAGATGGGAGGGAGGGGTGGTGCCAACCCCTTTGGCAAGTCGCTCCGGGCGTCAAACCCTCCCAAAAAGCGCAAACCCATGCCAGGGTCCGAGCCGGGCAGAGTAGCGAGCGTTGGAAAGCAAAGCAAAACAACCAGCAAACAACACCCAGCCATGCCCCCTTCCCCCACTCATGACGCGTCACAAGAACCAACACCCGCAAGTCCCTGCCCAAGCCCGCACCCACGCCCAGCCAGGAGCAGAGGCGCTCCGCCACGGCCTCGGGAGCACCACACTGACCATGATGATGAGGATGATGAGGAGGAAGAGGAGGAGAGGAGTGAGGGGACTGGTGAGAGAGAGAGAGAGAGAGTTTGAGAGAGAGAGAGAGTTTGAGAGAGAGAGAGAGTATGAGAGAGAAGAGAGAGAGAGAGTCTGAGAGAGAGTTAGAGAGTTTGAGAGAGTTAGAGAGAGAGAGAGAGAGAGAGAAGACAGAGAGAGTATGAGAAGAGACAGAGAGCTTGTTTAGAGAGAGAGAGAGTTTGAGAGAGTTTGACAGAGAGAGTTTGAGAAGAGACGAGATATTTCAGCAGACGAAGTGAGTGAAAGTATACAGCTCTCGAAATCAGTGGCCATTTCCAATCGAGTCAGCTCGATTATCTGACATGATGACAATCCAACGACTGCCTGATGGTTGGGCCAGCTGATGCAAGAACCAGCCTTCAGGAACAAGTCTTAAACGGGACCAATGCCACATGGTAATCTTTTGCAAGCCAAAAGCCCTTGACGTTGGAGCAAACCGAGCAAATCTGTCAAGATTATCACCCCCCTCTCTGCATAGTGAGCAACACCCACGACGACGTCGTCCCAACGATTTGATGGCTCCTGCCCGCTCTGCGACCAACCCGACCCGACCCGACCCGCCTTGTCTGTCTGTCTGTCTGCCTTTACTCTGCTCATGCGCCGCTCTTTGCTCAAACGATCGTCATCTCAGTCCCCACCACACACTCAAACTCACACACTCACATAGACTCCCACACTTTTGTAGACAAATCGTTCCCGCCAAAACCACTACTGGGTTCGTGAAGCATTCAAGGAAGGTGAGCCATTACCCACACGAAGCCAAGTCACTTGTTCCTTGTGGCTTTTCTTTTGTCTCTTTTCTTGGGGCTGACGCTTCTCTGAGCTTGTCACACTCCATGCATCATTCCTCTGACTTGCATTGATAATGCTAGTGTGTTTTCCTGTTTTAGGACGTTGAAGCGATTCAATCTCTGTCTTAGTCACAGTTCAAAACCTGCCTCTCTTCAAGCGCGCTTGCTTGCTTGGTACGTAGAAAGCCTCGCCGTTGGTTCGGTCCCCCTTCGTCGTCCTCGTCGTCCTCTTGGTCGTCTGTGTGCTCTTGGTCGTCTCGTTCTCGGTCTTCCTTGGTTTTTCCGCCGTGCACCCTCCCGGCAGTCTCTTGCCGAGACCGCCGTCGCCGAAATCTCGTTTCAATCATTGCGTGTGTGCGTGGGCGTGCGTGTGTGCGCGTGTGTTTTTTGGGCTAATGAACGCGCGGGCCCTCTCGGGCATGCTCGTCGTTCCGCCCGCCCGTCTTCTCTTCCCTCTTCCCTCATCCCTCATCCCTCATCCTTCATCCCTCATCCCTCATCCCTCATCCCTCATCCCTCATTCTCACGCACCGTTTTTTATTCTGGTCCTTGTAGACAGGGAAGCAACCCTCTTGGGCTGCGCCATCTGAGGCAGCCCCTCAGGGCCTCACCGATTTCAACCAGCCTTGATCTTGAATGCCCTCGGCTTAATTCGCCTCCCTTTCCTTTCGTCTTTCTCTTTCTCCGTATCTTGGCGCGGTGCAGGCGGCCAAGGATAACAAGCCTTGGAAGTCGGGTTTTCCGCTTCCATCTCTGCCCGTCCCCCCCCCCCCC